ATATATATATATATATATGTGTATATATATATATAGATAGATCACATACCATGCTCTTGTCCTTAAAATAAAGTGGATCATAATGTTCCCTTATGATCATCAATCTCTGTTTGCTTCAGAGAAGAAAACATGGAACAAGGATTGAAAATTAGAGAGCCAATAACAGTAAAACCATTCTGAAAAAGTGTCTAGCTTCAAGGAGAGTTAAGGTCAATTGAAACGTCTTAACTATATGTTAAGATTTCAAGGAATTAAAAATCTTTGAAATACATATCCACATCAGTATCACCATAGAGGTAGTTAATGAGGCCGAGGAGGTTTTCTGCCTACCTACCATATTATCTTTTTCCTGATCCTGCTTCTTCAGGTAACTTAATACTGACATTATGTCTTTCTCCATTTTACATTGCTTTTTCTTTAAGTCCTCATTACTTTTTGCCAGTGTCCGTGAAGTATCACGATACTCAATCCTAGAGAGTTCTGTGACTTCCAACCTGGCCTCCCAAAGGGAGGCATTGGCCTTGGCTCTGTCCACCACAGATTCATCTGTTTTTATTAACTTCCTGCATGGGAAGAGGACATTGACAGTATATGACTATTTATACAACTCTAATATGCAGACAGTATATAACTCTACTATATTACTATTAAAATTTTCTCTTTTTAAATTTGTTTTGCTTGGCATTTCCCCTGGCACACATGAGAAAACATTGTTGGATGAATAAGTTAATAAGAAATACACATTCACATTTGAAAAATGAAAGAAAAAATACATATTCACTCGTATTCACATAAGAGAATTAAGAAAGTGCCTCGTCCTGGAAGAGGCGAGCCCCGGAGCATAACTGGAAAAGACTGGAAAAACAAAGGGAAAAGACAGGATAAACCAAACTCATTTCATAAAGCTTTCATACCTTTTTTTTTCTTTTTTTTTTTTTTTGAGACAGGGCCTGGCTCCGTCACCATGCTGGAGTGCAGAAGCACGATCTCGGCTCCCCACAACCCCTGCCTCCTGGGCTCAAGCCATCCACCCACCTCAGCCTCCCAAGTGGCTGGGACTACAGGATTATGCAACTATACCCAGCTAATTTTTGTATTTTTCGTAGAAATAGGTTTTTGCCATGTTGCCCAGGCTGGTCTTGAACTCCTGGGCTCAAGTGATCCTCCTACCTCAGCCTCCCAAAGTGCTGAGATTACAGGTGTGAGCCACTGCACCTGGACAGTTTTTATATCTTTTCATTTACTTATTTGATTCTCCCATTTTTTTTTTTTTTTTAATAGAGATGGGGTCTCACTATGTTGCCTAGGCTGTTCTCCAACTCCTGGGCTCAAGTATCCTCCCACCTCAGCCTCTTAATGTGCTGAGATTACAGGTGTGAACCAGTGCCCTGGCCTGATTCTCCTGTAGTTAAACTATCTTTTCTATTCCTACTCACTCAGTGCTGGACTTTGGTTCTCTCCACTGCAAACCCATTATCTCTGTTTATTTTCTGCATGAGTATACCCATTGGTAGTGTAACTATAATCTCCCACCCACTTCACCCTCTACTTTTGAGGTTTTTTTGTTTTTGTTTTGTTTTGTTTTTGGCTAGGTCTTGGACAAAAAGTCAAGTCACTAGGGCAAGTATGTTAAATACTTTATCAGCTGGTGCCACGGTTCACCGGACTTTTTTTTTTTTTTTTTTGAGACAAGGTCTTGCTCTGTCATCCAGGATGTAGTACAGTAGCAACACACAGCTCACTGCAGCCTCGACCTCCCAGGCCCAGACAATCCTCCACCTCAACCTCCTGAGTAACTGTGACTACAGGCATGAGTTAGCACGCCCAACTAATTTTTAACAAAAATTTTTGTAGAGACAGGGTCTTCCTATGTTGTTCAGGCTGGTCTTGAACTCCTGGGCTCAAGTGATCTTCCCCCACTCAGCCTCCCAAAGTGCTGGGCATGAGCCACGATGCCCCGCCCACCAGGCTTTAAGGATGCCTGAGAAACCATAATCATTTATATAGAGGTGGAGAGGAAAAAGGAGGGATTCAAAGATTAAAGTGGTAAAGGAAGAGATTTTTCTAAATATTTATTGTATGAGCATTAACAAAACACTACTCCTTATATATGGTAGGTACCATGATATACAAATACGTACACAATATTTAAGAATATTTCACCTGTATTTGAATTCTAAATATTTTCACACATATGTATATGTGGACCTTTCTATACTGCCACCCTCCACATCCACTTTCCTACCTCTGGTTCTCAGTCCTCTTCCACAGAGGTGATGGGTTTGCAGTGGAGAGAACCAAAGTCCCAGTTTCACCTTTTGTTCTCTTCAAATTAAGGCCAGCTCCATTCCCAACCCCTCAGCCTGTTATAACTCTTGATGTCCCTTTCTGGTATGATTTAGGCACTGGTGATATACCATCTCACTACGACCATCCAGGTATCAAATCTAAGTGGCTCAAAGTACTTGATGTGACAGGGCATGGTAGCTCAAGGCTGTCATCCCAGCACTTTGGGAGGCCGAGGCGGGTGGATCACCTGAAGTCAGGAGTTCAAGACCAGCCTGGCCAACGTGGTGAAACCCCGTCTCCACTAAAAATAAAAAAATTAGCTGGGCGTGGTGACAGGTGCCTGTAATCCCAGCTACTCAGGAGGCTGAGGCAGAATAATTGGTTGAACCCAGGAGGCAGAGGTTGCAGTGAGCCAAGATCACGCCATTGCACTCCAGCCTGGGCAACAAGAGCAAAACTTGGTCTCAAGGAAAAAAAAAAAAGTACTTGATGCAAGAAATTAGACACTCTAATAGGACCACTTATACTCACTGTAGAAACAAAGCCAGGTTTCTCAAACAATGGGTCATGGAAAATCCAAGGAATAAGGTCTCTTACCGTCAGTGTTCCTCATTGTTCAAATGTGTACTGTAGAAGCATGGTCAAAATCTGAAAACATATGTGAGTGAGTTCTAGGAATGTGATAAGCCCTTGGCACTTTAAGGGCTAGACAAACTGTGCAGCTATGTAAAAACAACAACAACAAAAAAAACCCATAAGATAATACTTACATTAATACATGGGAAGAAAAAAGTCACATATAAGTATGTACATTGGGCTATCATTTTATTAAAAAATAAAATAATACTCCAAAATATAGTAGTGTTTATTTTTGGATAATGAGACTACAGGTTATTTTTGTTTTCTCTTTTGGTACTTCCCATGTTTCCCAAACTTTCTGTATTGAGCATGAATTACTCTCTTAAGTTACTTTACAAACATCTCAAGTTTGGTGCCAACTCTGTGTTCCCATATATGATATTGCTGCACACCACATAGGACTCCAACGTGTCCAGAAACCACCGGGGTCCCCCAACAGGGCTAGTAGCAATCTAGCAGCAACTCCAGGCCTGTAAGGGGTTAGTGCTAGAACATTACCCACCTCAGTGGCTCGGATCAGTTTGGGAAAACCTCAACAATTACCCAACTTGGTAAAATACTTCAGGTGTCCCCTTTGAACCAAAAGAGATCTCTGAAAATGCCCAAGGAAATACTTTATACATGCGCTACACGTTTAAGATCATCTGAACCACATAGTAGAGATGTGTCAGACTATGGACATGGGAACTGTAATCCTCACAAGCCGGGAGAGCCAAGAGGGTCCGAGGGGGCCGGCGCGGGGGGCGCCAGGTAGCCAGCCCCAGACCCGAAATCTCAGGCAGGCCCAGGGAGAGGGGGACTCTCGCGCGGCTTCTCCTTACTTAGTGTCTTTGCCTCTGCTCTTGCCTTTCTTTTTGTCCTTTCCCTTCGACGGCATCTTGGCTTCCCCAGCGGCTCCGCTGTCGTCGTTGCCCAGCCGCCGCCACCCTGGCCGGCTCCGTCTCCAAGGGAACCTGGACG